CCTCGTCGGGGCCGGGCTCCTCCAGCAGCAGGTCAGTCATGCACTCCCAGTCCTTCATCATAGGGTTGGAGTCTATCAGCGAGTCCACCAGGTAGGCGCCGTGCTCGTGCAGCTGCGGGCGTACACAGGGCGTGAGGTGAGTGAGGGCGCAGTGAGGGCGCAGTGAGGTAGCAGCGAGGGAGCAGTGAGAGACGCACCTCGGACTCGATGAAGAACTGGACGAGGTCGCGCAGCAACGGGGTGTTGGGCAGGCGCACCTTGCCGCGGCGGGAGCGCTGGGGGGCGGCGGGCTCCTCGCTGCGGAACAGGCGCACGTTGAGGAACTCGCCCGCCGCCGCCGCCACCGACCGCCACGACGAGTACACCAGCTCGTACACGTTCTCGCAGTCCTTGTCCACCAGCATGTCCGGATGCATCCTGCGCCACCGCACGCACGAACGACTCGAGTTATTCACCTTCACCTTCACCTTCACCACTATATTCAGCCGAAGTCCTGCTCACTTACTTCAGTATGGCGATGACAAGTTTCACGGCGTGCACTGCCACCTCCGTCTCCTTGTCCAGCGACATGGACACGATGCGGTCCTTGAACTTGGAGGTGAACAGCTCCAACTTGCCCTTCAGCTCCTCGCACTCGTACAGCGGCTGCAGCGCCTGCAGGCAGCGCAGGCGCACCTCTCCCACCTGCACACGTACCATGTTGCACTTGCCCGTTACATTGTGGAGCATTTGCAACACCTTTCCTCTCATATCCTCATACCTTGTCATGTAGCGTCCAGCCGATGTACTTGAGATATAGATCGTCCAGGAAGTGGGCTGGGAACTTTTCCATCCAAATGCCTATTTCAGCCATTGTGATTGCTCTGATGTCGGGCAGAGTGTCCCTAGTTAAATTTATACTTAATGAGAAGGAAAATAACCACATGATACATTTTAATAGAGACTTTAACTCTATACATTTTTGTAAAAACCTTTTATGAATGGTATTTGTATTAACATTTTTATAAAAGGCAAGGCATGTAAATGTTTGTATACCAGCATACCTGTATCTGTGCACAAAGACAGACTTGAACATGTAGGAGAGCATATTCTTGATCTCCTCCATGTTCTCCTCGAGCTCCTGGCGCTTGGCGACGAGCACCTCGAGGCGCTCCGAGGCGCGCTTGTCCCGCGCCTTCAGCCGCTCCGCCTCGTACTGGCGCAGGCAGTTGTCGCAGTTCACGCTGGTCAGCAGCGCCACGTCCACCAGCGCCGTCATCAGCTTCATCACTTTACACCACAAACCATTTACCACATCACACTATGGCTCCTATAAGTATTTCCTAGGGAAACTGTTTCATGCACAATGCTACTGCCACTGTTCTCTGTTATTGTCACAATGTATGTATTACACAACATTCAACATACTAAGGGACAGACTGTTCGCGCCTGAGATGCGGGCAACACCACTACCGGTGCGAACCGACGTGCGGTGGCACGAAACGTCACTTGGACTTCCGCTTTCGACCGCCGATGCATACGCGCAACGATCAATTTGTTTTTTTGCAACTCTGTATTTACCGCTTATTAAACCATCGCACCCAAATATTTGTGTTTGGCCTAAACACAGACTAAACCTTAAAAAAATACATTTTATATTTTTTGATATATAAATGCATTTTACCATGGCTTTACTCACCTGCCAGAGTGGCGGTGTGTCTGAAAGCCCTCACTTGGGAGTCGGACAGGCCAGTCAGTAAGGAGATGATGTTGTCCATCAGGTACTGGTCATAGATGATAGAATACTGGCACATCTTCACTAACGTCTGGATAAACTCACAGAAGTTGGAGCGAAACTTCTTCCATGTTTGTCCACTCATTATCAAAGGATATTCACCACTTTCCTGAAAGTAAGCATCATCCCACATGTTACATTGTTTTAACTTTTTTAAGACATTACCATGATCTTACAGAGAACATAGTATCATAGTTCTCCAGAACCACATGAGAGTGTTGAAGCTAAAGAGAAGCATGGTAAGAATTCATACCTCATCAAACTCTTGTGTCATTTTCTTAATAATGAGTGTGTGTTCCATTGATGCCATGTCTGGGGTGACCTTGCCGCGGCAGCCAGATGAATTGATGAAGAACTGCATCAGCTGCACCAGAGCACTTTCTCTGTTGGTCTTGTATTCTTCTATCCACATATCTACCACTTGCTGCAAACAGCCATAATATATTATTTATCATTAATAAATTAAATGCTTTAGATTATATGTTTACATTAAAACTTACTAAATTATTATAATGTATTGCTAGAATATTTGCTTGGCAAAAGATATTTCATAGATGCATGCAACAAGTGTTGAAATTTGGCATAGATAGGTTGTAAATAGATAGCTTGGCAAATCCTGGAGGCTACAAAAAAAAAATATTTTGCACTGACAAATATTGTAGGTAACAGCTTGCTTTTTATAAATAAGCGCATGTTTAGTGCATATGCAGTGCATCCAACTTGCCCATGAAATACTTTTGCTCTGGTCTCTAAACTCTAAGCAAGTCAGAGTTTTGAACAAATTCATCACAGTGGAACTGAAAATGCACTACAGCATTTACTAATTAAATAATACTTATTTCTGTGTATATATGAAGGGATTCCTAAATGAAACCAATGGTACACAAGTTTCAACAGCTTACAGCGCCAAAAAAGGTAATATCTGCAAACACATCACACCTGCATCTTAAAATCCAGTATGGAAATAAATACACCAACTTACATTAATAGCAGCCTTATTAAACCTCAAAATATTATAGAGGCTATTCTCATCGTCGCCAGGCATAAGAATAGGTGGCGGAGAGGCAGCGGGTGGTGGCGCCGCGCCCCGGCCGCGTCCACGTCCGCGCCCTCCTCGCCCTCGCCTGCGCAGCGGTGGCGGCGGCGGCGACTCCGCCAGACGGCCCACGTACCCGCCGTCTCCACCTCTACCACGACTTCTGGTAATGCGTTTAGTGGGTGCCGGCGATGGAGACCGACCTTCATCTTCCAGATGCTCGTCTACTTCTTCTCTAGCTGTCTCCATTGCTGTAGAATTGGCTGCTGTTCCAACTTTAAACCCTGAATAATTCGCATGAGGCGTTTCCGGCTCATGAACTGATTGGCCTCCATAGTCAGTCATAGGAGTAGCCGGTGTCATTGGGTTGACATACTCCGGAGGAGGATCATCCATACGGATACGTTTCCCGCCTCTACGATGCATTTTGTCAATGTTTAAAAATAATTGTAGATATTTCTACTGTTTTATTTCACATCTTCAGTTCCACTCCTTATCAATGAATAACTATTGATTAAACACTATAGCAGTCCATACATTTGCTTATCGTATCGATTCAGAAGAACAAGACCACCGCGCAAACGCAAATATCAATATAAATATGGCGTAAACCATAGATTTCAAATAGATTTGTAGAAACATACCAAAGAACATAAATGATGGAAACAGGCAGGAGCAGTTACAGTGCACAGATACAGTTCATTATCTCACACTAAACTCCAACTAAACTTTGTTAAAGTATAGGTCGTTACTTGGAAATGTCAGCATAAAATATATATTATTTCGAATCCTAATCACCATTTTGAACCGTAAACATCAGCGCCAAAATGGCGAATTGATTTCGAAAACGACTCTATGATAAAGTCGACTACCCAAGCTCATATGACCTAAAGGTCTATGTTACCAGGTCATAAAATTAAAAAATAAACAAGCTCATGTTTTCTCTATGGATGGCAGCTAACTGTCAAATAGAATAAAAGAATAGAATCACAGATTTAGGATAGGAAGATTTTGGATTAATACATTTTTAAACTTTATAGCATTTTAATCAGTAAAATGGCCAAGAAAACATACGATTTGCTCTTTAAACTTCTACTAATCGGTGACTCTGGTGTTGGAAAAACTTGTATATTGTTTAGATTTTCCGACAATCATTTTACCACCACATTTATATCCACAATCGGTAAGAAATTACGATCCATCTTTGAACTTTGAAATTCGGTATGCTCCCATAATCATTGTTAGTATATTCAAACAAAGATTATTTTATCTATCATAGAAGAATTAAACTTGTTCAACTTAGTTCCACCATCTATTAAGTATTGTTATTTATACGAAGAATAGCTCGTCAATTTAACATTCTTTTAGTATAGCTATAGTCGAAGCCCATTTCAATGTTGCTGTTTTTATTTATAAATAATTATTCTATCATAGTAAACAAGATGATTGTTTTTTTCCAGGCATAGACTTTAAAATTAAGACAGTGGAACTACGTGGTAAAAAAATAAAGCTTCAAATTTGGGACACTGCAGGACAGGAGCGCTTCCATACAATCACAACTTCCTACTACCGAGGGGCTATGGGGATAATGCTTGTCTATGATATAACTAATGAGAAAACATTTGATGATATTGTCAAGTGGTTAAGAAATATAGATGAGGTAAACAATCTATGGGGCGGGGCACTGAATGATAACTCCACAACTCTTCAACCTATCTTATTGAAATTTAGCACAGATATAGTCTCAAATAACACATGAGATACTTCTCAGCATTTCTTTTTGAATTCTACACACACAAAGTCACAGGCTAAAGCTAGTGTAAAATGAAATTAAAATTTTATGAAGCAATAAAAACTGTAGAGTTTTGCAAGTAAATTATTCAACAAATCAGCAATTCACTCAACCTGCTAAGGGTGGGCATGGTTGACAAGGACCAGCGCAACATCTAACTTAGGGTTAGCTGTGTGTCCCTCTGAACCGATGCAAAAGTGTTATAGCTTTATGTATCCTCACAAGTCCCAATGTGGTGATATCCAATGTCATGCTGGTTAAATTGTAAGGCTTAGTGTACAAAGATAAACAATATCATTTTCAGCATGCAAATGAAGATGTGGAGAAGATGATCCTCGGTAACAAATGTGACATGGAGGAGAAGCGCGTCGTCAGCAAGGAGCGTGGAGAGGCTGTGAGTCAACTTTACCTTTTTCCATTGTTTCATTGAAAATTTCAAATACATACACAGTGATAAATGTACTCTTGTTTAGAGATGTTATGATTAATTCAGCATGTGACACTTATGAATGTATGTATAATATATAAAGTTATTTTTGCATTTAAATGTTTAAATGTTAATTTTGCACTTGATTCGTATTGCTTTACTATATATATATATATATATATAATTAAACATGGCGTTTTTAATTATCACAGTATGTAAAAAGGATGTAATGTAATCGCGATGCAGATAGCGCGCGAGCACGGCATCCGGTTCATGGAGACGTCGGCCAAGTCCAACATCAACATCGAGCGCGCCTTCTCCGAGCTGGCAGAGGCCATCCTGGACAAGACGGCGGGCCGCGAGGCCGACGCCGACGCGGCGCGCATCGCCGTCGAGCGCCGCCCCTCTCGCGCCCCGCCCGCCCGTGCCTGCTGCTCCTAACTCCGCCCCGCACCCCACGCTACGCCACACGCCCCGCACCCCACGCCACACGCCCCGCACCCCACACACCCCGCACCCCACGCCACACGCCTGTGAAGTATCAAGCTGGTAGGACCACAACTTGTATGTTGCCTCCTCCACTTATTTATAGCAAAAATTCTAGAATCTCCTTTTCTACAAATTAACCGTCACTTTTAATTTTTTAAAACCCTTAAGAAGCTTTTGATATACAAGTTGAGAATAGTGAATCCTAGCGAACATGTAATAAACAATATTTCGCCTGCAAAATAACTGTACTTAATGTCGGTCAGTCCGTCAGCCCGTCAGCCGGTCAATACATTTTGTGTTTAAGAAGCATATTGATACAGTTTTATAACAATATTTACTTTAGTTGTAAGTTAAAAATGGTATAAATGTAATGGAGTTTTTATAATTTTTAGCGTCTAAATAATAACTATAAATGTTGACGTCGGTCTAGTCCCGTACTGAAAGTTGTACTTTTAGGATTAAATACCATCAGCATGCGACCACCCCGCGTGCACCCCGCGTGTACCCCGCGTGTACCCCGCGTGCACCACGCGTGTTTTATATGATCGTAACTGTTAGCTTTGAACGTGTATGTACTCAAAGCGATTTGTACAGATAAATGGCAGGCAATATAGTGTCGGTCGGTAAGCGAGGTGCAGCGCGCCGCCGCCGTCGTCGCCTTGTATAAGGCGTTTACAATATAAAAAATATGTATTATTATTTAAAATGAATAATTAAAATGTGCAATGCACTGATCGCCGCCACGGACAGCGGCCTTGCTGCGGCTGGAGATCACGCGTATAGACTACTTATTACGATATGTATAGACATGGCCGCCCTGCACTCCGCGGTCCGATGCGACGTCTCTCAGTTACTCAGAAATCGGTTATCACACTACTAATATTAAGTAGTCGTCACCAAACCGTCTGAGATTTTACTTTTCCACTATGTTAAGATTTAACTAAATGAAAAGGTGGGGGGGGGGAGGGGCGATAGCCGCCCCCTTCCCTCTCGGCCCGCATCCTCTGGTGAGTGTGGATGTGAGCAAATCGATACTTTATTATTGTACGGTGTATGTGTCTCGTCGGTTTTTACCTGCTTTTATAAATATAAATAAATATCGGCGATGTATATTATGTTCATAATAAACTATTTATCGTGAGCCGCTCCGTTTTATTGTTCCCTCCGCCGCTCCGGCTGTCTCCAGTCCGTGCCCGCCCCCTCGCTAGAGCCGCTCTTCATAACATCGGCTACCAGACGCTTCAATGCGATCATATTGTAACTCTCAAGTGATTATCTAAAACCAACTGGACCACTACGGACATAACTTCCGGACAGGAGTCCGGTGCAAGTGATTCCTTGATTATTATGAATTATGTTTACTGAATCGGTCAACATACTTGTTAATATTTGCCGAAGTTTTAACTTATTTTCAGAATTGGACAGGATTGAATAGAACTTAGTAGATTCTCGTTCTGATCGACAATTAGATCGAAGACTTGAGAGTCGACATGAGGGCTGACTACTGTAGTAATGGACAAGACGTTGACCTCTCACCCGGTTTCCCTCGCTTGTGTGAGATAAAGAGACGGTATTATTATTGTTTGTGTGCCGTGCCCGCGCGACACATCGCCGCTATCTCGGGTGAGAGGGCAGTCCGCCGCGCGCCGCCCGCCATGTCGCCGCCCCCGCTGCTGCTGCTGCCCCCCCTGCTGCTGCTGCTGCTGCTGGTGCTCTGTGCGCGCCCAGCACTACTCGCTGATTGTAAGTTTTACTTTGTTACGAAGATATTTAATTAAATTTGTATATAATGTGAATTTATCATGTACTCTGACTGAGTATTCCTAAGTGTTGTTATATCTCAGTTACTCGAGTGACAAGAGGGCGTTTTTGACGCGTATCTAAATTTGTTTTTATGTATATGGTCTGTATGTACGTAAATTCCACTGTGACCTCTCTGTTTGATTTCTCTGCTCAATGATTCGGGCATTTTGCATAAGCACTTTGTTTGAACTGCAAGCAAGATAAGTAAAAATGTCAATATTCTAGCTAAATTTATTATAAAAAATTACAGGAAATACATCTTATCAATCGTAATATGGTTCGGTTTAACAAAGGGATGTAAATGTGTCCCATATATTGAATTTTTCGTTAAGGAGGAGAGATGGAAGAGGAGAGATAGTCGACGAATTCGATAACAGTAATTCTTTGGAGAATTAACATCAACAAAAGAAAGTTTACAACATTTCATATATAATAAATTAGTCAAAGTGGAGGTGACATCGAGTTATAACATTGCAACGACCTCGCAGCGGAGTGCGTCATCGAGCTGACGTGCGCCGAGTGCGTGCCCCAGCACATGCCGCTGGTGACGTCACACCGCGCCGCCCACCCCCTCCTGCGTCTGCTCCCCGGCGACGAGGTGCGCCTCGCCTGCCCCGGCGGCCGCTTCCTGGCCTACCCCCACCGCGCCGCCCTCGCCGCTCGTTGCGAGGCGGGACGTCTGCGCGTGCGTCACGACGGAGCGCTGCGCCACATCCTGCACCTCGGCTGCCAGGACGACGTGTTCGACGACGTGCTGCACCAGGTGCCTCGCCGACCCCCTCCCCAGGGGACCCTCACATACCTCTCCATCCACCCCCATGCTTATACGTGTGCCTGACGTTCGAAGGTGGAGTTCTGCGCGCCGCCGCTGCAGGGACGGGCGTACCGGGCGCGGGAGGAGCGCGGCGTGCGCCACCTCGCCGCGCTCTGCTTCGACCAGGACCGCGGCGTGGCGAGCTACGCGCGCACAGACAACTCGCCCGACGGCACGCTGGCGCTACCGCCGCACGAGGAGAGCTCCGCGCCGCGCTCGCTGCTCGCCAACTTCAACCAGATGTTCGACTCGGGCACGCGACGCACCGCCGAGCGCCTCTACTCCGACGACGCGCGCCTCGACCGCCGCATGCGGGAGATTCTCAAGCACGACCGCTTCTCGTTCGCGGAGCAGTCGCTCACCTCGGCGCCGCTGCTCGCCCCGGCCTACTTCGAGGAGCAGGACGTGCGCGTCGCCGAGTTCGCCTCCAACAGGGTGGCGGCGTGGCGCAGCGTCGCGGCCGGCAACCTGCGGCACGTGCAGCGCGACGTGGCGCGGCTGCTGCGCGCGGCGCGCCCGCACAGGCGGCTCGAGGTGTACGCGGGCACACACGGTGTGCTGGCGCTGCGCACGGACGACAACCGGACGGAAGTGTACCTGGAGGCGGGGAGGTTCCCGGTGCCGCGGTACGTGTGGACGGTGGTGCACGAGGCGAACGCGCGGCGCGCGCTGGCGCTGGTGGTGCTCAACGATCCGTTCGTGTCGGTGAGCGAGGTGGGCGAGGCTGTGTTCTGCGAGAGCGTGTGCGGGCGCGTGTCGTGGCTGCAGGAGCTGCGCCGGCACGAGCACTACGAGGGCGCGGTGTACGGGCTGACGTTCTGCTGCGCGGTGCGGGAGGCGGCGCGCATGTTGCCGGAGCTGCCGGCGGGCGCGCTGGCCGCCGTGCCCGCCGGGGACGCCGGTCTGCTCACGGACCTCCTCTGACCGACCTAGCGGTACCTTCCGAAATCGCTTTCGACTCGAACGTATTATGATTAAGATGATGTGTATCAGACACACCGGTTGCGCGGATTGCAAAGTTAAAGGCAATGTGTGCACAATGTATCTCGAGAGTGACATCCGTTAGTTTTTAGTAAATTGTAATAAAAAAGTAAAATATATGTATACTTATAAGCTCCGCGGAAGAGGTAACACAACCTTCATGCACGAGTCTATTTTTTTGATGTATTATAATAAAATAATTAAGAAGTGTTGTTTGTATTATTTATTAAAAATTATTAATATAGATGGTAGACAATAAAGGATTCCAGGCATGTTCAGTCCTTCTCTGCGATGGCGGTGAGATGTTTGTCGATCTCCGCCTCCGACAGCACTCTGCAGACACAATGCATGTGTGAGCACATCTCCTCACTTGTATGTGGGGCATTCCACCACCAGCGGACAGACATTTCAGAAACATTACAGTATGCTCTACAATGTTGTTCTGTCCTCAAATGCAATTAAAAAGCTCATTTAATGGACTATTAAATCCTATGGTTAAATTATTCAAATCCATAAAGCGATGACTTGATAACCGACTGAACTACCGCATCTGCATCACTTTGTCAACATTTCAAAGTCCCTTAATTCTTTAACCAGTAACTGCCTTAAAAATATATTTAATATATGTATCTAGTACATGTACATATAGAACGTACTCAAATATTCGCTTGGCGAGGAATGCCCCCAATGTGAATTTAAAGGACCGCGTTGGAATGTATGTGGTGAGTGTGGAGATGATGGTGGAGGTGATGGCGGTGCTCACCGGAAGCGCGGGTCTTCCTTGGTGACGAGGCCGATCTCGATGTCGGCGGCTTTGAAGTCGACAGCGAGCACCTGCGCCAGGCACCCCACCGCCAGCTGCACCGCCTCCTCCGTGCCCAGCGCCGCTCGCTTCTTCAGCTGCGCACACGCACTCGCTCACTGCCCGCACCCGCACCCGCACCCTCGTGGCTGCGGGTGCGGGCAGCGCAGTGGCTTCGAGACACGACATTACAATATTTATGTGCAACCGTTAAAAGAATTAATGGTAAATTTCAAATCATCTCCTAGTATTTTTATACAAAAATAACAGTAATAGTTGCCCAAGCCCTGCGCGTGTTTACAAACAGGCCGCCGTCAATGTGACAACAACTTGAAGAAACAGTCTTCAATAAGCGAGGAATCGTTCCAAAACTTCAAAAAGGTGACGGTGACGCGCTCGCGGCGCAATGGATTACCACGGAATTCACATTTTTAAGTAGAAGCAATATTATAATTTTGTGATACATATTGTAATGAATACATTTAAGGAAGTGTTGATGCAGTACCTTCTTCTCGAGGTAGGCGTTGGCGTCGGTGGCCTTGGCGCCCGCTGCTACAGCCTTGTAGGAGCAGTAGTAGCCAGAGGGGTCCGTCTTGTACACCGCCGGCCCCGTCTCCGGGTCGTACGCGATCAGCATCATGCCTGCCGCACAAACAAACCCCACACCGTTCTCATTACAGTTACATTTCTCACTAAAATCAATGCAAAACTCTATTAATATTGAAAGAGTAAAATCAACTGTACTGACTGCAGCCGAGGGGCCGCATCTCCGCATTCTGCGTGTACACCTGCGAGATGTCTGCGACGCGGCGGCACAGCACGTGCGCGGGCACCTCACAGCCGTACTTGTACTGCCAGTTGGCCGCCTCGTAGCGCGCGCGCGCCACCTGCGACTTGCTGTCCGCTGCCCCACACACACAACATATCTTATTATACAACATATTCAGCCTCAACATAACAATACTACGTTACTAAAACATTTGCAATATAAATTTGATTATTCCAATAAAAGCATTGGTGTACCAATCATGCCGGTCATAACGCAGCCGATGTGTTCGGTGAGGGGGAACAGGTGTGTTACAGAGGTGGGGTCGAGCAGGCGGTCGGGAACCTTGCGCTGCGCCGCCACCACAGCAGCTGTAGCACCGCGCAGCGCTACAGACGTCAGTCCACCCTGGTTGATCGCCTTTAGTGCATACTCTGTAAACCGTCTCCGTTTATAACACCACTACAGTAAAATAAGCTGACTCGACAGCGCGATAATTGAAACATAGTATATTCCGTAGAAATTTTTAGCTACTAAATTAATAAATTTATTTAGTATTAAATAGGCAATACATGTTTCGCTTCAACAAAATAGTGTTTTCGTCATTTTTGCCTCGGCAAGTACAGTGCTGCACACATTTACTAAATTATACTTCATTTCAAATTAAAAAATCACATTACATTATATTGTATAATACAGGTGAGTGTTGAACATGTAGATCGCATCGTCCTAACCAAGAATATGATACATGTCATAATAATAAATAGAGATTTTGATGTGTCACCAATGTTTAATATGTATTTAGTTTTAAGACATGCATCACTAGATAAAGAACAGAGTTTAATTCGCTATATGGTTTACGTTAACTTTTGATCTTAGAATATATCAATACAAATAGTTTTATAATTCTGTTTATGAGCTACTTACCGACTTGATAAAGTCTGCCTTCAGGGGAAAAAATTGTAATATGCCTGTCAAAGCCAGCACTACTTTCACGAGCCATTTTTATATCACTTTCTAGCAATAAGCTCTTTGAATAGAATAACAAAAACTTGAATACAGTAAAATATAAGTCAACCACACAATACTTTTTGACACAGGGTAGAGTGGTTGAGGCTTGCCGGTTTTGCTTGTCATTGGTTGCTTTTCAATTTTTGATACTCATCATAACCTTGTAAATCAAAGATTAAAGTTAAGCTTGGCATGTTAGTAACCATAAATGGTAATGTTAATTATTCAGTTAGATATGTGTAATTTTAAGTTAGTAAAAGTTATTATTTTAGTTTACTCTTTACGGAGCTTAAATAAATAATAAAATTTTTCTTTCTTTCTTCTTCAAAATACTGCATTATTTCACCTCTATGTAGTTATTTAACGGACCTCTAAAAATGGACTGGCTATAAGAGGATTTTTTTTGTGCCAAATTGATTTTCACCATTTTAGCGCCTGATCAAAGCGGCAGCGTTAATTTGAACTAATGTCTATTTAAGAATCCTATTCCTTTGCTTAAAACCATTATTTTAATTGTATTTACTGTATTGTAAATGCGAGAAAAAGATTCGCGAATAGAAGTTTGAAAATTACGAACAGTGATAAAATGGTTTTATTAGAAATGATAAAAATGTAACAGAAATAGATTGAGGGCAATGAAATCTCCATTTATGAAAGAATTTCTTAACAAAAGATTTTGTTGCAAACCAATATTGTCGATACGTCTTACATTGGCCAACGATTTGAGTATCAAAAGTGGCGAAAAATTGAAAAATAGGTATAAAACACAAATTATCATAGTCTAAAACCTTACGATCCTGAGGCTTTTATGTCTCAATTCCGATAAATCGTCTTTTCTCCTACCTATCACGTTAAATTCTATCCTGTCTATTAATTAGATTTTTTTTTAATTTTATGACCTGGTAACATAGACCTTTATTTATTTATTTATTTATTTATTTATTTATTGGAAGACCAACAGCCATTATTATTTAGGTCAAAGAGTATATAAGTCATCTATTTATTGGACGTTAGTATTTTATATACTCTTTGGTATTTGGCAAAGAGTACATATAGTTTACTCTTTGTCCATTTGTCGTTTTTGATTTATAGATTGGTAGCCATGGCCCTGGTTTTTAAATCACTGTCAATTTTAAAATTGTCAGTTGCCATTTGTCATGTCAGTGTCAGTCGGTTAGGTGTGTGATGTAGGGGAAGGACGTGTATTTTACCATTTCGTTAATTTCGATTTATTTACATATTCTTGCATTTTCATTAATTACTTAATAAAGAAGCATCACTGGTTCCGGGTTTTGTCGAAATTTGTAAACTATTGTTCTCTATTTAGGCAGTTTTAGCTCAATTTACGACAACAATGACAGAGACCGTTACAAATACAAACGAGAGGAAGTCTCTTTTTTCTTCTTTTTTAGAAGTTTTGGAGGCAAGAGATACTCAAATACAGTTAGAAAGACAGCTAGAGGAGGAAAAATATCAGAGACGAACTCAGAGAATATACGATTTTCATGGTATGTTTTATATGTTATCTTTTTCGAAAATTAATTAAACCTTTGTTTCTTTTTTTTTCTCGCCACTTACAATTAGTTTAATCTGAGCACTAAGTTTTATATATTTAAAGCTTTTTCCAGAGACTCCGTCCGCGCAAAATTAAGAAAAAAAAACTTAATTAGTAGTTCATCTGTTTTTCCTGACTACATTATACATCTATGCCATATATTAAGATTTAGATTAAATTACATTAATATAATATTTAATTAAATGCGAAGAAAATATTATTTTGTTTATGTAGGGTGGTCCTGATCCTTGTTAGCAGCTTGAGCAGCATTTTCATTTTGCTTTTTAAAAAATACAGTATGAAATATGTGATGTTGTTGTTGAATTGTGTATAGGTGGAGGCTTGGTTAAAGCAAGCAGCTTGCCAGCACGAGAGTGGGTGGCACTTGTTTGGACTGCAGTAAAATCTACACATCCAGTTTAATTCCCTGCTCTTAAGGAAATTCATATGAACCTTTATATGACATTCTTGAAGGAAATAATTTGATCATCAAATCATATGCAAGATTCACATTACCACAAATAAATTGAAATATATGTGTAAAGTCAAACGACTGACCTAATCAGTGCGGTTGACCCAGGCCATAGCCTAGTCATCCTAACTTTTTTCCTAGCATTGCGCTCATTGGTAGTGACATTACAAGAGCTGAAGTAGTAAAGAAAAGTGTTCTTCCTCAAGTTGGTCAGCCTCAATCAGAGGTATTTTATGCAAACCTGTGTTCCCGTTTGTACTTTGTTGGACTCTTACATGGGTCATTTTACAAATAACTAACATCTTTGTTAGTTACATGGTTAACTTGAAGGTGGTTAACTTGACTGTTAAAGTGATGTGAATGTTACTTTATTCATAACAATACAAAATTAGGTGAGATTGAGGTTGACGTGGTGTATGTGCGTGTGCGCAGAGCGGCAGCGGCGGGAGGCGGTGGAGCTGCAGCGCTGCCTGCAGTACGTTTCGCAGCACGCGCACGTGCTGGAGTCCGTGCTGCGGGGCGCAAGCGCGGGTGCGGGCGAGGGCGTGCCGCTGGCCGCTGCGTTGCTGCGCCAGGCAGCCGCGCTACAGCGCAGCATGGCACAGTGCGTCGCCAACGCGGCGCGCATCCGCCAGCTCCTCACTGCCGCACACCGCCCCCAGATGGACACCATGCTCGCCAAAATGGTTAGTCTCTCCGCACAGTTCTGTAATAGTCAACAGCCTAACACTTATTAGACCAGAGTGCGGCTTTTATGGATTCAAAAAGTTACATCCCTCAAAGTGGTAATCACTAAAAGCCACTCCAAATCCACATTATGTAGAGCCACCTTGCTTGACACGCGTACGCGCAACGCTGGCTGCCTATCTATTTCGCGGATCTTTGCGAATTAGATAAAGTGCTGAAACATGAGAAATGTGTGTTAGCCTTTCTCTTTAAAGATGTCATTACTGTAAGCACTATCGAATGATAAGAATTTGTTCATGGATTTAAAGTAGATAGGTGTAATACGTCTAGGTGTCCGATATCACAATTGCGCTAAATTTCTCCAGCCGACAGACAGCGGCACAGCAGCGCAGCGGACGTGTGACTTACATTGGTGATTATAATTTGAGTGATAAACTACTTATTGCCCGCTTAGATAACCCAGTTATTTCCAAAGTTACAATAACAATGACACAAATAAAACATCGTATATAACACATCGTACGCTATACATGAAGCGATGCCGCCGCCAACACTACAGCATATGGCTGCTCCCGCAACACTTTAAGCTTCCAATGTCTTAGGGCAACTCACCAATATATGTACAATAAAACAACTGACAAATAAGGAACGCACACACTATTCGCTAACGTTCTGTTTTTGTTACTTCATATTCCGGATCAAGTTATCGCCACTGACGTCTCGGTTGAACAGCTACGGGGGGTCGCATTCAAAGCATTTCTTTTGGATGATCAGCGACTGTTTTGTGCGATGAGAACTTACTTAATACTCTGTTTTTCTGGAGAGACATACGATTCTTTAGAATCTTGTTTATTTTCCAATTTACTAGCCTTTCCATTAACTAATCTTCTATGCGGATACGACGTCGTGGCGGTCTCACCATCGTACACCGTTACCTTTTAGCTCGCATTGAAAACTATAAGTACATTTGTTGTGGAATTTAGTTACATTTTTGTTGTTGTTGTTGTTTGTAGCTCTGACGACGCCAGGTTCTTGTGCAACCTCTGCTAAACATTTCACACGAAAGCAGAACTATTCGTTACCTCGAAGTAGACTTTTTAGTTTTCATTACTTTTTATACCTACTCATTAATGCGAGTTTCACTGTTTATAAAACATGTGTGATATAATTAAAAGTAAGTTAGTGATGATGAGGACGGGCGCGCGCCAGTGGGAGCAGCGCGGCGGGCGGCTGTGGCGCACGGCGGCGTGACGCGCGCCTCACACCTTCACGTGTCATTAAACGACATATAGCTGGTAATTGCATAATCATTTTGTTCAATAACCCGTGAAGAACGTATCATAGAAATAGCTTATTTTATTGGAAATTCATAGTTCATATGGACTATTGTAGTCGTAATTCAACATTGTTTCAAAGTAAACCACATCAATAGTTGGAATTGCAAGTTGTTTCGACGCCGGCCGGCCGACAACAAACGACTCGCCACTCGCCAGCGCCTCACATGGTACGCACCTATGTACTACATACGTCTATGTCATTTACCCATTAATGTTACTAAATGCTATGTAAATGAAATGATATTTTCTTATTTGCCAGAATTATGTTGAGTTGGTCAATACAACGTTCTGATATTAATTTATTTCTTGTCTATTTGTTCTTGTCGAGGAAGACAACCAAGAAAATTAAAATCCTTTCCCCATCGTGTCGTGGGTGTCGTTTAAACTGGTTAAATGGAGCCACGGGATGAGACGACAACTGTTCTGCTAATTTACACCTACGCGAATTGAGGACGAAAAAATAACGTGATCCACGGTGTGTCGCCTGCTTATAACACCATAGAGTGTAGCCTCGTTCGGGCACGCTTTCTAACCGGGTTAGGACAACGTTTTCCCTTCGCGGTGCCACGACATGGCCTATAGGACTGACATGCAAGCACACTCTCATCTCATTCAAAAGTTTTATACAATGAAGTATAGTTACCGTAGTAGGCAAATTAGTTGTGTCGCTAAGATGTCGCTTGGAACACCACTCTATTGTGTTTAGTAGTCATGCAGAAGTAGATGTCTTTTTTAACCTGCGTAGCAATGGGAGCGGAGCGCTAGATTACATGTATATGAGAGCAGACTGAATTTCGCCCCGTCTATCTGTTAAAACAAAGCCCTCAGGTTGCTAAATTAACACCTTGCTTTAAACTATACGATTTTCTAATTCCGTTAAACATTCCGTCGTCGCCGCACGCCCCGCGCCCCACCTTTATAATTAGCAATTGACTTCATTCGCCTCTGGCTGACCATTAGCAGCGATTTTATTATTGCGCGAGTGTATAAGACGGTTTCTTTCGGCCGCAGCAATGTAGCTCCAATTTAAAGATGAGTCCGATTTTATCGGATATGTTAGTCGTTCTTGTTGTCCGTTATTTAGAGCACAGCGGCGAGCACGATTCGATTCCCGACGTGTTCACATTTTGGAAAGTCTACCGACGTGTCAGGTTACCGTAGCCTATCATTTTTTGTTACACTGCCTTTCTGTTACATTCGATGGTTTCCTCATGTGATTATATGATACGCACGTTGCTTTATATAACTCATCTATTTTACCAACGTCTGTTAATCGCATCCGAAACTTTATGGACATGGAATTGTGTCAATTTTCGCTTTGAGATATAATTTTTAACAGTGGTAGAGCCACGCACGAATTGGCCCGGCTCGCCCGGTTAAATACCACGACCACACAGAAGACAGACGTGAAGTGGAAGCAATTCCGCGTTTCGTCTGATGAGTGTGCGTTCCGGGGGCCTAATTTAGTCCTCTTTTCCTTCTCACACTTTTTCTTATAAGGAAAGCATGGGAAGTGAAAGTGGACTTTCCGGATGAGAGGATGCAAGGAAAGGGAAAATATTTTTTCTTTCTGTGCATCCTGCACTCGGGTATATCGAAAAAACACGGTATCTTATTCAAATATTGGTATCACGAATACATATTGTTTACAACTTTAGGTTTGACCATTGTTTGACTTTTATTATTTCATTAATTTTCACCTACGCGATGACTCACCCGCTATAGGAGGCACAAATGACTTGGCTAATTATCAGTACTGACAAGGATTCAGTGCGATTCCTTCCGGGCGGCTGGCGCGAAGCCCTGCGAGCGCGCCAGTCCAACAACCCCGTCCCAGCGCCCCCTGCGCCTCATGCCCCGCGGACCCCTCTAATGCAAAGCTGACTGACCACTTCCCCGCATATACTATAATAGCTTTTACTTTGCCAGACTTTGTTGCGACTTACGATATACAATAGCATAGCATAGATAGGTACACAATAAATGTGTGTTTCCACAAGTTGTTCACTTGTGTGTGTGTGTGTGTGTGTGTGTGTGTGTGTGTGTGTGTAGTTGTAATAAATGAAATTCTCATTAGCTTTATAAGAAAAAACTTTGAACCCGATAGGGATGGGCTACGCTACATCTTTATATTTTTAATTAAACATGATTCACAGTACTCGAGCTTAAAATGAACACCCACTAACATTAACAAGTGCGTCACGCCGTGCCTGGGCCGAGAGCGCCGCGCTGCTCTCTAACATCATTGCTGTCTGTGCTGACCAAACTTATACTTCCTCAACGTTCTTGCAGCGCTACATGTTCCTGTTGACTATTTAATCAACAACAACGCCAAATCAAGTTCCAGCTGTCCCTTCTAACTGCTGCTCTGAGTGCGTCGGATCGTAACGCGTCAAATTCCTCGGCTCGGCTCACGTTACTTGCAATTAATTATGAGGCTTTTATTTGATTTTCTGGTGTGGTAGTCAGGCGGTTTAGTGTTCCGCTGTAAAACTCTCGCTCTGTTTTTCGCCAAACCAAAAGCATCGCCCCAGCCAGGTACCTTGTTGCCCAGTCTTATTATTCTTTACGAGAAATGTAGACCATGTTACGCTATCTCGTTTTTAAACGTGTAATTAAGCTTAAGTTGTGGACGCTAAGTGCGGCTTTTAATCAAACTGAAATATAAATTTACGGGCACAACATTGGTACATCCATATCTGTGTGGGTACATTCCCAACGCAGCCACGACCCAAACCCCAAAACTAGTAAGTGATATCGAAGCCTGCTAGACAAATATTAATTTTGATTGAAATGTTAGTTACTTGCAAACGAAAAAAAAAAACAAAATGAAGACACTGAGGACAAGAAATAATTTTCAACGATTAGTCACAAAAAAATTAGTTGTCTCATCGATGTGATGAGGTTGCGAAGGACTATAGGTATGACATTTTAATTCTTGTGAAGGGATGTATCGGTGGCGGCGAGTGATGGCGGTGCGCTAGGTGAGCGGTCGTCGACCCCGCTGTGACGACTCATTACCGGCGCTACGGATTGCTGACACCATTTTTTGTGATCGCCCACTCTGACCTCGTAAAGAGCCATTACACTAATAGCGCAATCCTTTGAACTAACATCATTACACTTTCATGCTCGAATCACCAAGTTCTGCGAAGTTGTCTTTCCGATTGTAGCCTCACCTTAATTAGGTCTGCTTATACTTCCGATCATACATAGGAAATTTTAGAAACGTAAAATAGAAACAAAGATTAGAGGGTTTTAACTCGCTAATTTAGACAACCAAATTCACGAAGGCTAAGGTTTGGTCCCGTCGAGCTGGAGCATCTGAGTGTTTGCATGTTTGCGGAAGCGCACTAGCAGTGAAACTAGCCTTCGTCCTTTAACATGAGACGATAATGTATATCCTTAAATATGAGTCAAACCTCTTTGTTCGTGTCTTTTTTCCGACACTCTTTTGATTTCATTAATTATTTTGAAACAAACATGTTAATTGAAAGGAGTCAAACAATGCGTACCAAAGTTGGTTGTTTCCCACGGCCTGGCGGCGGCGCTGTACTACCGTGCCTTTGATGCGCACTTGCTTGTAAATTATAATACAACAAGTGGTTGCCAGTGACTTCGTCAGCGCAGATTAAAAAAAAAAAGTTTGCCATTATATTCCCGCTTGCATGAGCTACCAGCCCCTCAAAATTGAGCCGGTTTTTTGGAGATTACCAGAAAAGAACACGGCTTGCGAATAGATAAAGAGACAGACAGAAATAAAAAAATGGTTATTTTGAAGTTAAATTTAGATTAGCTCCCCGAGACTTGACGAAATGGGGGGAGGGGTTTATGTTGTGTTGACTGCACAGCATAAAGCTGTCCCTCTGGTCTAGTTGCGTGTTGCATACACCATTGTTTGATCGGAGGCGACCCTTCGCCGCTGTTGGGGAATATAAATGCTGCCACCGCCGTAAAGAGGCGAATTGCTGTGTATCAAAACCCCGGGGCTGAGGTTAACGGATCCTCGTACGCACTCATAGAGATAACAATAATATTATAGTCACAAGTCGTTTTTGTTTGTTTACGTCGCGTCGTTTGTTCGCAGACAATGGGCCGATTGTATCAGTTCCTTGTCTCTGCTGCGACGACCGCGAATAACAACTGCATCCCTCGAGCGTTGCTAATTATGTAAATTTGTATTCAAATTTTACGTTTGCTAGCATTGCTGCTGAGCTGACATTTCACGTGGAATTTTTTTTATGATAATTAATCTTTTCTTTTTGGTAATTGATTTAACATTTGATATGTTTCATGCGCGACTCGCTGACAGCAGGCATGAGGCATGAGGCATGACGCGTGATGCGTGATGCGTGATGCGTGCGCATTTAACATTAGCAACAATTTATGTTGAAAACACAAGAGGAAAGATCGGAATGATTGCACGTGAACATGATCTTTGCGGTCTTTGCCTTCATCTGTTTGTGACATTTCTATTTTCATGAATAGTATCGAGGTCATGAATCGCTGAACTGCCTGAAATTCTAGGATGTATTCGTGTGTGCGACCTGGTGATCCATAATCTCGATGTTTGGGGGTTCGGCCGACTTGCGTACCGTTAATGATCGCTAACCGCAGGCTACTTCCGTATCGTTCATATCGTTTTTCAGTCTCCCCAAGAACATTACAACTATAAAGATCGTGTATGTGCATGCAGTTTCGGCTTAGTACAATATTCATGTGATTTATTGCTTGTTACTAGCCAGCGGCGGCGACTTCTAGTGCGGCCTTCATCACACCGGTCATGCAATTGAACGCCCAATTACACATGACCGTGTTAATTTGCTCGGCCGACACGACCGACACGACCCAACCCGTGCCGTGCCGCTGGAATACTATACTCGGACAGCGCTATAAAATATTATACAACTATTTATTTTAGTTAAACCTTAATTTGTTAAAAAACACTATATCTACTCTAAATTTGTTATGACTGCCATCCTGCTGCCTTCCTGCTGCCTTTTGTAATATCATCATATGATATTGAGATTTGAAACGTTTGGTTCACTTTGGGGAGTTCGGTACGGAATTTGGAGAAGCAGAAGCTACACGTCACCGATTCCTGCGCAATCGGTTCTACCTCTTTTACTTATTACCTACCTCCTAAACAAACCGCAGACAAATATAAAAAGGTTTTGGAAAATTCATTCAACGGCGATAAAGTTAGTATTGATATATGATTTCAATCTATGTGTGTGTTTGTTTTTGATTGTGTGCGTTCAACATGTGGCTACAGGTCGGCGTTGTGCGTGTCACGTAAATAAAGCTCGTATGCTAACACTGCGCCGGCAAGGGGGTGATTGAACTAAGCCAAATAAAATGATTCGTGCCACCGCGAGTATCGCCGCCGGTACGCGTCTATCCCGCGGTGGGACTCTGTATTTAGATGAAACAAAAGTTCCGCGAGTTTTTACTTATTATTTCTTCGACGATGAAATTGCAGATTTCCGACTAGCTGTATGCAAATCGATTAAACCGATAAACAGATAATTTGCACATTGCACAATTTTCGCTTTGCCAAATAAAATTTGAAGCGCTTCCTAATTTATCAAAATTATATCTCTAAATATTAGTACATGTGCGGTGCACGGAGCGGAAATGACTGCGACTTCATGACCGCGATACAAGTTCTAGCCATTTGAAAAATAACACAACAAAATTGAGGATATAATGTAGTTCGTGTTAATATAATTAAGTCTTTAGTAGATGCAATTTTTTTAAAACCGGGACTTGGAGAGATTAGACTTTAAGTAGTAAGGCGCGAGGCGGCGCGCTCCGACCAGACTCTCAGATCTCAGACTGAGCTCTTGAGTGCGAGACGTGAAGAAAGAGCGTACTAATCTCACACTTGAAGCAGCCGGCCAGTGAGTACTGGTCTGGCACTGGCGGCGGCACAATTTGTTTTACCTTATATGTAGTTATAATGTATATAATGATCCAGGATGCAGGACATCTCACGCGAGATTGTCTAGCCTAACCTCGGGCGATCAGCCCGCTCCACCCGCCGCGCCATTGCGCCATGGACACGAAATAGAACTCGTAGCATTGTCAAACATGTAACATTGTTAAGTGCTGCGATAATGGCATCGCCGGTCGCCGTTCATCGTATTGCATTTGTAAACATATTGTAAACAGTCTCAACACTCTTTGCAGGAACGACCGCGCATCAACGCATGGATGTTACATTGTTACCAATAGTCCGACACGAACGCCTTCTGCCTGTAAAAGCGTAACGAAGCGTGGAAAAGGCGCGCGCGCCTGAGCTGTCTCGGGCGCATTTACATATAAGCGAAATTTAGCTTTCTAACGCGCATTGTTCGCGTTAATCGTAGAGAAAGCGCAGGTCGGAGCGCCGCGCCGGCCATAGGGCGGCTTGCACACACCTCGCGCCCACACCCACAAACACAGAAAACAAAACTGTTATATTGCGAATAGTGCGACCAGGAACATATACATACGAGTACATACGGGTCCTATTTATAGGTTTATTTTTTAGACGTTTGAAAGAGTTATACCTTATAACGTGATTTAAAAATTAAATCCAGTATTTAATATAACTACACATAGATGGAATAATAGCGATGGATAAGAAACATCGCTGCTCGGGTTGGCGCCTTAGCAGCCATTTTTTCTTTTTAATGATCACTGTCGCAATAACAAAAAATGACATAACAATATGTATTATCCGTAATCTGGCGGCGACATGATTATGGTAGCGCGGGTCTTTGCCGATCGTGTAATTAACCGATAACCGTAGAAGACAATTTGAACTAGTTAATTGTCTGATAACTGTTATCAGTTCAGACCTGCGAGTCAACGCCCGTCCCCGCAGCCGGCTCTTGTGCTGAAGGGTGCGGGCAGCGAGCTGCGGGCTGAGGGGGTGATGGCCGCCGGGACTCCGCTACCGCCCGGTCAGCGGCCGGCCGTGGCCATCAAAACTATATTTGTAATAGCGGAGCGGCATGGCGAGGCGGCGGCGGTTCGCTCCCGTGACGTGACACCCAGCCGCCCGGCCCGCGTTTGGGGGCAGTGAAGTTCGAGGGCACGGGAGGGAGAGGGCGACACTCTCCGCACGCCGCTCTGTCCTACTGACCTCGTGCCCGTCGGGAGATGCGATATACCCTCCTCAATAATTCATAGTGTTTACCGGCTACATACTACGTGTAACTATTTTTGTCCGCCCTATTGATTTACGATAATTTTCGTAAAACGATTCAACATAATGTCTTCGAACGTATTAAATATCTTGTTTTGTTCAAAAGGGTGAAGTTAGACAATAAAGTAAAAATATTAAGAATTATCGATCAACAGTAGCTTCAAAACATTGTTAGTTTATTTAAATGTTAATGCCATATAGTGTCAAATCGACCATTGCTAGTTGTGATCGCAAGTCGTTCGCGGCGAGCGGGAGTCCGTGCCCTGCCCGCTCTCTCCGCACCGCACCGCACCGCCCGCTGCTATTGAGCTATTTATTTCGTAACGCTAATATTAAGTCATATTTATATTTGTTGCGTGTTCGTGCAATACATCTCGCGAGATATTTTTACAGACGCCCAGAGCGGGGTAGCGTGGTGGGGCGAGGTCGCGGTCGCCGTTGCTAAATAGAGACGTTTGATGCAAAAGTGAAGTCGAGGTGATCGCTCCTCAAGCGACGGTACCGGACAAGCCGCGACTCAAGCCGGCTCGCCACGCCCATATGAATAAGAAGATATTGTTTTGCTTAGATTGTCCTAATACTATCGGTTTATAAGACCTCTTCGACTCCGTTGCAGTGGCACAATATCAACGATAATATTAACATTCATATTACTTTATTAAAATAAATATTACGATTATTATTTTCACATGTACTACTATTTGTCACCCGCGACTCCGTCCGCGTGGAATTAAAAACAAACTTATTATACTTAGTAACCTATTTGATCTTCCAGACTATGTTCAACGTCTACGGAAAATGTTCACCATAATGTCACGTGCACTAAAACACAAAAATAATATATATTTAGAGAGATGTCATTTTGTAGAAATCTGTACTTTTGTAGTGGTTTTCGATAGATCTGTGTCTTGATGTGTGGGGCCTTCGGGTGCGTCGACCACACCGGCCCTATCTCGTCTGCTCTCTGCCGATATTGCGGTAACGTTTACTACTGTCTGTCTGTCTGTACTATACATGTGCGAAAACAATCGCTTTCGTTTGCGGTATTCCTCTCACATGCAACACATTATTCTCTTTCAAATATACTATAATTTCTTTAAACTCGTGTGTAAACTTCATATACATCTTAAAGAAACAAGTATATCCTTCTTCCAAAATGATGTTGCCGTGTAATTGTTTTTATGGGTTTGTACCAACATATTAAATACTATGATTCATTGTAAAATGACAATGGCAAAGAGGAAGGTGTCGAGGGCAAGGAGAGTGAGGCAAGGCGCGCGCGTGTTGCAGGAGGCGGAGCTGAGCGCGTGGACGGCGTTCCTGCAGCGCGCCATGGACGCCGCCTACAACTCCGAGGTGGTCGTCGACAACCTGCACAACCTGATCGGTGAGGCTCGCCTGCACTGCACATACATACATACATACATACTTACTTGACAGCGATCGTCACTAATTTTTCTTCAAAAGAATTTTCGTTGCTTTTTCGTACCAATTCCTAATAAAGGCGTATGAGGGTTACATTACATAATCTTACTGTTGACTATATATACATTTCGTCCGAGAGCGTCGATGGTTCAGGGGTCAAGCACTTGACTTGCAATCTGCAGGTCCTGGGTTCGAATCCCGCCATGTACCAATGTGTTTTTCGATATCCGATTTACATATGTACGTCCGACGTTCTTACGGTGAAGGAAAACATCGTGATGCAACCTGCATATATCTGCGAATCAATTCAAAGATATTTGTGTAGTGAACCAACCCGCACTGGGCCAGCGTGGTTGACTATGGCCTAATCACCCTTAACTTTAGGGTAGGCTCCGAGCCCCTCGGTGGGGATGTATAGTGAGTTGGTGATGATGATGATGATATATATTTATTGTTTTCAGCGGAGCAGCGGCGCTGCGTGCGCGAGGTGGCCGCCAGCCACGTGCTGGCGGCGCTGTGCGAGCCCGCACCCGCGCCTTCGCCCACGCCCACGCCCACGTCCGCGCCCACGCCCACGGTCGACTCGAGCACACCGCACGCCCCACGCACACCGCGCACGCCCACCTCACTGGAGCGGCGCGCGCCCTCCGCCGTCAGCACGCCCATCCAACGCGACTAGCGGCGTCGCTGCCCGCTCTTCTGCCGGGCGATATTCTCCTAACCTCCTCCGCGCCCAAAGCGCCCACAGCGCCCACCTCGCCCAACTCGTCTGCCTCGCCCAATGTGTTATAACAACACTTTATCTCGAATTGAAATAAAGAATGACATAGGGCGAGGTGATGGAGTTTACCTCGAATATTAACCGCTTCATTGAGCACATTTTGATGTTGTATTTTTGTAAAGGTTGTTGTTGTTTGTTGCAATATTGTACTGGAGTGTAGTGAAGCGGCGCTCCCGCAGCGGACAACGACCTCACTGCCTTATCGCATGTGTTCAACTTTTATACCTATACGTCTTATGTATTATATAAGTGTTTAGTGCGGGGAACCGTGCGCTGTTCGCACCCCCCCCCCTCTCTGTCTGTGTCCGTGTCTGCGTGTCTGCCTGTCTGCGTGTCTGCGCGCTTTCTTGGGCGCGCCTCGCCTTCCTATAGATGTTCGTGTTTTACTTCCTCAATCAGTATTAGAATTTTCAATGTACATTTTACTCTATGATTGTTTTATATTTCAACTTAGCCATAGTTTGTAAATCTTAATATATAGGTAATATACAGTAAACATCGCTTACGACCTTTACTAAAATATAAATATGAAAGACATAAAAGTACGATGCAAATAACAAGCCGTTTGAATTCTTGTTAAAAACGCAAAACCCCTAATGTTTATAAAGTGACCGAGCACTTTGTGGTACCGGCAACGCGATATTTTATCACGATCACGATTACAAACGCGAGCTGGAATGTTCGTGTGTTAATGTGGATGAAGCATTAGCGGGAGTCTGAGTTACATGTGATACGATCATGTAAAGTGTCGACAGGCATTCGATGGTGGCCGCGAAGTCCTACGCTGTTCCAGAAGAAGAGCCGAGTGAGTCCAGCTCGACCGACCGACCGACCGACCGGATGGCGGCGCGACCATTCGCACTCCAAAACCTGATCGCGTGCTAATGTCGTCGGATCGTAAACGGGGAAGCTCACTATCTATGGGCGTGCTAACATTGAAGGTCATAAGACGGCACAACAAACGGTTTGCCTCGAATAGACGTGGCTCAATAAGTTGGGGTGGAATAATAGCTCGAATGCAGCGACACATCGCCATTGCTTCCTTCAATCGGGTTATCAATTCTAATTCGTTCAGTTTGTTTGTTCAGCACAAATATGTTCTAGACGTAGTGTTCCGGAACTGGTGCATACCCGAGGGCGAGGGCGAGGGCGAGGTCAGCTCAGCAACGGTCGTTGTCGTCAAGTGGAATACCTTCTGGGTGTGTCGCATGTCCCGGTCTGCACCCCTTATGATCCCGAACACTTTGCACAATCCCGCACTAGTTTCCCTACCGGGATATCATTTCCGATATCATTCCGGATGTCGTATGAAGCGATCTTTACTGTATGTTGAAATGTCGAGTGCGTGGAATTTAATAAAGTTGCCAAATTGTATGTAGTGTGCGAGCTGCGGCCGTCTTTTACCTAAAAATTTAAATGTGTGGTTGATGAGCAATCGTCATGTATCCGTGACACGGTGGGGCACATCTTGGTGTTTGATCAATTCTACTTCATGCAAAGCCCGGCTCGAACCGATCTTACGATTATCTTTTATACTTTTGCTCCTGCTCCTGAACGGTGTCATCGCACGATGTCACTCGGCATGGTGTGCTCGGGAGAGCGCCACACCGTCATCTACAATCTGGCCACGACATAAATAAGTTAATCGTGTTAATGATTCAAAAATACAAAAAATTGCGTATTTATTATATTACAACTAATAAAAGAATAAATGAAATAGATAGATACATTGTAGAAAATGTTCTCTATATGTATGTCTGTTGAAATGAAATGTGCGTGATATATTTTATGATCATGTGCCCTTGTCCTGTTGCACCATCGTCAGGTCTGTGCGACCGCTGCGAATATCACGCGCAAACGCCGCGCCCACGCCGCGCCCACGCCGCGCCCACGCCGCGTCGGCCAGATCGTCGATGGGTTATAACTTAATGCTTTTATACCGAATTAATGTCTCAAATGTCTTGTTATATTTTATATTGTAAAATGTTAAATATGCTTTTTATAATTTATAAATGAAGGAGTCAATAAAATAAAGTAAAACATAATTATACTTGGCGAGCGAGTAGGAGAGCGCCGCCGCCGCGCCCCGAGCTGTGCCGAGCTGTGCCGAGCGGCGTGGCGGCGTGGCGCGTGCGGCGGGGCGGCGGGGCGGCGTGCTCGGACTCCGATCTCGCATTTCTTTACATTCCAGAGATACTTAATGTATTGACTATTACAAATAAAAGATTGAGTATTTTAAAAATATAATCTTTATTTTGTACGTTACCCTAACTACAATATCGAGTCGTCGAGTGAGTAGGGCTTCAGACTCTGGTCGGCAGGGGCGCGAGCTTCCATCGCTCGACACACGCTCATACACACACACACACGCACACGCACGCAAACACACGCACACGCACAACATATAGAGTTTACATAGAGTTCGTTTATACAAAGTTTGTATGAGGAAAACATAAATATTTTTTAATAAAATTATTAACAAATCCGTGACATAGTAGTAGTAGTAGTAGTAGTAGCCTTTTGATGAATTAAGAATGAAGGTGTAGTGCAAGCCGGAAGCTGGAGCCGCTTACTGTGTGACGACTGTGTCACGTCGCTGTATGATCTGTGGACGACAGACGCGACAGACGCGACACCGCTGCTACCTAACCTCACAACTCTATTAATGTATTCATAACTAAACTTATAATCAAATATCTATTCATTTTACAATAAACTTGCACTTCGTGTCGTATGTTAAACAATTACGTACATACAGTATCTGAGAGGGGCGCTGTTGACGCTGTAAGTTTTGTCAGAAAATATGGATTTTATGGTTAACATACTTAGGCGAACAAAGTAACGCACAAGAGTCCATAAAAGCACTGGTTACACACTTTTGTCATCTACAAGGGGACGCCTGTCACTTAAGGTTCAGTTTACCCACCGGGCTAGAAAAGTCCGTCGCAAGATGCGGCTCGCCAAAGAGGGCCCATTCCTCCCGGAGAGACCCTCGCTATCACAATCCTATTGTGTCATCACGGTGACACACATCAATGATGTGATTTTTTTGTAAAGCGAAGTCTCAATAGCTTTCAGAGAAACAAATCTGTCGGGTCCGCTTGTCCGGGTGTTCAGGTGAGCGCGGGGGTGGCAGCGTGGGGCGCGGGGGGCGCGCGGGGCCGCAGCGCGCGCGGCGGCGCCAGCACGCTGTGCGGCACCGGCACCGTGCGGCCCAGCACCTGTCACACGACAACCACACATCACTCTGCCGCTTTGCACAACTTACTCATTTTATATGATCCCCGGACTGAATACTACATCATACGTGCCTTTGGTATTAAGGGACTAAGTTAATGTCACCATGCATGTGTATTATTTACATATTAACGGACGCCCACGTCGCCATACGCGCGGTACTAAAAAAAACTTGATTAGTAGCCTATTCGTTCTTCCAGATTATGTTCTACATCTCTGCCAAATTTTAACGGGATCCGTTCAACCAATCTGGAGATACATTCAAACAAACATCTATCCATCCATCCATCCAAACATTCGCAAGGTAAGGCGTGTGGCCGGCGCTCACCTGCACGGCGACGTGGCCGCGGCGCGCGGCGCCCAGCGCCAGCACGGTGTCGCCGGCGCGCAGCCGCAGCGCGCCGCTCTCGTCCGCCCAGTCGGCGGCCAGCACGCGCTGCTGCGGGTAGCCTAGCTTCACGCCGTTCGACACCGTGTACGCTCGCGACGGCGGCAGGGGAGGCGGCCGCTCCTGCAACGAGCGGCGCAGTAGTTTACGTCACAGATTAGATTTAATCGTATGAAACGCGGCTGGAAATTCACACATTACGAACTCACTAGGTCGAGTCCGAAGAGCGAGCAGGTGCGCTTGACGAGGGTGGCGTCGCACTTGTCGGACGGGTCGGCCGGGTCGGTCAGGCCGGGCGGGCCGGGAGGGTCGGGCGGCGGCGTGCCCGTAATGGGCGCGGGGCGCGGACGTTGCGGGGGCGCAGGCGCGGCGGTGCGGGGCGCGCGGGCGCGGTGCCGCCGCCAAGCCGCCTGGATGCACTCGGCCGCAGCCTGCCGCCGCGCGCGCCTCATTCGCTCCAGCACCTGAACAGGTAACGCTCATATCCATTTTAGTCTAATGCAAAATTCCTCTAATAAAGCAGCCCAGTTATAGAGAGACCGGGAGGGCGGGCCGCTCGGGATTGAGTGTCAAAGTCGCACACTAGATGCTGTCTATAGCCGGGGCGGGCCGGCCAATTTTGTGCCACCAATAAGCAAACTTTATTCACCAAAATTAGTGATCTGGAACAGCGGAGCTCCGATTTTTCAAATCATATCAAACCGAAATACATCGATTGTTTAGTTATCAGGAGTCGAATTATCGGCGAATCTTAATCACTGGCCGTTCGTCCAATCTAAGGCCGGGTACACACGGCATTATCCTGCAAGTTTTCTTAGTATTCCTTTTTTCAAACGTACAATTACTAGGTTGTCCACACGGTAGATTTTAATCCGGGTAAAAACGGAATAGCAGTGAGTAAAGAAGAAGCGAATGGACGTAGTGGTGTGTCCTCGCTTGGTTGTTCTTTTATATTGGTATAATAATCTAAGGCGCCAAAATGGTGGGATCAAAACATTTTTACGTTTTTTATTGATGTTTAGCTGGTTGTATATATGTGAATCACCCTTAACTTAGGGTAGGCTCCGAGCCCCTCGGTGGGGACTTATAGTGAGCTGATGATGATGATGTATGTGAATTAGGGAATTTGGAAATTTGCATGAAATACATTTAAAATGTCGGTGGAAACAAAATTTGTAAAAATGAGGATGGTAATACAATTGCAGATTTCGTTACCTACGCTATACGCGTGTGAAATGTTTGTATTTATTACCTGTCGCATCGCCTCGCTGAGGAAGACGTGGCGCTTGCCCAGCGCCCAGCGCACGGCCGCCGGGGAGGAGGGCGCGGGCGGTGCGGCGGCCGCGGCCACAGCGCGCAGCAC